CTTTCCATTTCCAGATTAATCTTTCCAGACAGTTTTTAACGAACTCTGGACTTTTACCTGCAGTTTGTGGCTGACTTCTTTTTTCAATGACATAATACTTTTTTGACTTCAGCTTGTATTTAAACATCTTTTGAAGATATATATAAATATACATAAAATCATACATCAGAAAATAGTAGCTAGAATTCATACGTGTTACGCGCAGCTACAAAAATTTTTTTATAAACTCTGCAGACTGTGCAACAGTAAGTAATATACATGAGCATGTGAAGAAACGTATTATTTCATTGCTGCGGCACGCTACGATTTGTGCAAATATGATTTTAATATTTTATTTTACGTCATTTTTCACTTTAATTAAAATACTTATGAACATTTGAGTTATTCAAAAAATTATGATTTAGTCTAATAAATGATTTATATCAATTACCTTAGCATATGGTTTACTTTATCAAATTCTGATCGCAGAATCATAAAGATTGCGATCATTCACCGTAATATTCTGTTACATACGTATGCATAAGGTTTTAGTTTACGAAGCTATGACCGTATCTTTTAAGCTATGTTTTAGCTTCATTCTTAGTTTCTTTCGCTCTACTTGTTACGTTGCATACATTTTATCCAACATTTTATCATTAATTTTTATTATTAGTGTTACTATTACTATTACCATTACTATTATTACTTTTACTATTATTGTTATCAGTTATTAATTTTAACTTATGTATCGCACATTTGTTCCTAATTTGAACAAATTTCAGATATATGTGTCGTTGTTCATAGTTGTTTTGTTAAATTGATCACATTGTAAAGTGGAATTTGCAGTCCGATGAATCTTCGACATCAGCATTCTTCGCTCTCTTCTTGTAATCCCTTAACACATGACAGATTTTCTGATTCAGAAGAACAAATTACTTCTTTTTGTAAGCATTTTTCATTTTTTGATATGAAGACAAAAGTTGACACGTGTTTCTATACATGGAAATTGATGCTCTTTCTAACTTTGTGGACTTATTTTTATTCGCATTCAATTGCTAAACTCAGAAACCACTTTGTCCCTAACTAGCAAATTTATTTTTTTGTCAACATTGAATTGTATAATCGTCATTCACCACCAAAGTTGATTTCATTTTCATATTAAGTAGTTGAAATTATTCTTATAATTTGATCAAATCCGTAGCAAACTGGCGCTTCCATCACATTTACATCCCTGATATCGTTTATTAAGCAAAATAATTCAGAGGTATTTGAAAACAAAAGTTTTTTATGAGTTACAGTTACTGCATTTCTGTTTTCCAAGTTGTTTGAAGTATTTTATTTAAGCAACATATTAACATCAAAAATCAGTCGATATCTCAAAGTTGCCCAATGTTAATTGCAGTTTTTTGTATTTTAAATTTAATAATTGGCTTGTATTGAAATTTTTTTACAGCTTCCTCCGTTTATTCGAATAGCTATGCAAGTTTTCATGATCCACAATCAAAATTGTCTGCTGTCAGTATATCATCTCTACGAGGTCTGTAAATGTGGTTCATTATTTTGTGTTTACTTAGAAACATAAAAGTGCATTCTCAAATATCTGACTGCAGAAAATACAAATGGCAATATCAGTCAATACGTAGACGAGCTGTTCATAGATTTTTTTGATGAAAGTGGATGATTTCTAGGAAATGTGCTAGAACATATGGAAACTTCCTCACCTTCTACCGTGGCAGTTGGACCACTTTTTCATGCTTCACAAAATCAGTAAGTCTTTGATTCTTATATTTTTTCTACATTTTATTGGTTTGATTTAACTGTTTTCTTTACAGTAACACATTTGTAGCCTGATATGCATAAGTTTTGAGATAAATGTAAAAATTTGTTTACCAACTCTTCACTAGATAAATTTTAATTCACATTTTCTTATTAGGTTTAGTAGAATATTAGGTGCTTCTTACTCAGAATTTTTAATGGTTTATTAGAACATTAGGTTTGATATTCAAAATAAAAATTAGTTGTCAAGTGTGTGTTACTTTCGTCACGTTTAGTTATCCTTTTTTGATTAAATATTCAATAAATTATCCGCAATTATGCAGTAACTTTGTGAATGATTTAGTTTGTTTTTTTGTTTTCTTTCTAAAAGGTTTGTTCAATAAAAAGCATGCCTCTTATTCAGAATTTTTTATGAATACTATTATTCTGTGATGATTTTTTTCACTTATTTTGTATTCCTATACACGACATTCAACTCCCTGTGTTTCCTATCCATACAGTAGCTTGCTTCTTTTTCTGTTTTTTGGAATCATGTGTCTAATTGTAAGTTTTAAATGTTATGACATTTAATAAGGAAATGAAGAATCATTCCCGACACTTTCTTCCGTTAATAAATGCTAACAGATTACGTACAGATTAAACATATCTCTAATTTATATTCATAATCTGTAGTGTATAATGAATTATGCATGTCCGCCAGAAAATAAATTGCATGTAAAATTTTGAAAATATTTTTTGATTCTTTTTATACTTTAATTTTTATTCTTTCTAGACATAAAGTAGGTTTTTTTTCTAGACAGTCAGTTTTAAAAAATTTGTTACAATTGAAAACAAATGAAAAATGGTTAATTTTTAGTTCATTTTTTTTAAATCGCTCATACTTCTACTCTAGTCTTTTAAATTTCTATTATTATTACACTTAAAAAGTTACGTAATTTCATTTTTTGTACCTCAGCGCTATTTCTTCATCTACATATGCAATTATGTTCTAAGTTTTGTACTCATTTAACACAGTCTAAAGTTGGTGAAAAGAACAGTTAGTGGGGTTTCGAGAAGTTTGCATCTAACAGGGTTTTTCATGAATGAGGTAGATTCAGTTTTATTAAGTTAAATTATTCTAAATTCACTGCCAAAAAATGATATTGGAACTGAGAAAGCGAAATGATAAGCGACTTGTTATTACTGCTACTTTGACAGATGTAAATAATGTCACACGATGTTTCCAGAGTAAATATTCGTAACTGTCTAGTTTCGAAGCAAAGACAAATGAAGTATTCTTTCGCTTATCCTATAGAAATTGAATGGCTATGCTTTGCTGTTGGTTGTCATATTCGAGAGGGAAGGCTTACACGAGAAGGAATAAAATGCTTGAATTTTGGTTCTTACTTATCTATGATAAGTTTTCCATTCAAGCTTATACTTGTTTATTTTCTAACAAAATGCATACAATTTCATTCAAGTGTCAAATTTCAATGTGACACTTTGCAATGTAACATTACAGTATTTAGTTATTTGATGACTACAGCGACCATGCAGTTGTACAAATGTCTTCTGTTCATTCTATGATTTTTATGAACTGTGTTTCTGTTTTACTAACTACTTAATATATTTATTTCATCTGCATCTTCAGAACACTTTTAGCTTGTTTTATTCCCTTTATCACTTAAGTGAATATAACAAATTTATTGTCTTGTAAATTACTATCTACTAAAAGTATTATTAATTTGCTGAATTTTTTTGGTCTAATCTCTCAGTACAGATGTACTTAGAGAGTTATTTGTGATGCCTAATGAAGATTTGAACTGTTTATATATATAGTTTTTTTTAATTTTCGTAATGATTACCGCCTACAGATTTCTGCTAATTTTTTTCATTTTTATCATGTTGTCATTATTGTAATTATTATAAGATTACTTTGGCATCAATGGTGCAAGATCGAAGTACATCAAAACAAAATGATGGTAGAATTATAGCAAACAAAAGCTTAATGATAGAGAACAGGTTGGTTCACTTGCAAATTATTACTCTAATCTCTATTGAGTTATAGTAGTTTTTAGGTATCGTGGTGAGCTATCTGTTCTAGAGAAGTATCGTTATGATCTTAGTCGTGCGCAACTTAAAGCAAGCTCACGAACATCAGCTTTGTTAGCAGGTTTTGCAATGGTAAGTAGCTTAGAAATTAAAAAAATTTTTCTCTGCGTAGTTTGCTTACAAACACAATTTGCAAAATATATATATATTTATTGTTTATACATAGTAAATTATCTATCTGTTAGTTTATTTAACTGCTTAATCACCCATCATTATAACTTATTTATTATGATATTATTACGATTACATTAACCGCTAGTTTTTTTCACCAAAAAGTTAGCAATTTAAAAGTTGAGAGAGCTTTATATTTTTGAGGTTGCCCTTGTAGAGTTGCAATATGATCAAGCAACGCCACCATATTTATTGATAATATTTGGTGTAGTTACAACACTTCTTGTATCCGTTCATCTTCTCGCATTAATGATGTCGACTTGTATATTGCCTTACATGGAAGCAAACGGTTGTACACAAGATTCACCGCATATTCGACTTAAGTAGGTATTTATTTTTAGAATATTATTTTTGTCACATTATTTGACGCATACTGATTTTTTGGTGTTTAAAATTCGTTTAACATTAAATCTTTCTCAAAAAAAGATTAATCGAATAATTGTTCGTGATCGTACTGAATTGTAACACAAAATAAAATAAAAGTTTTCTTGGTTTCGTATATATTTAAGTGTTTATTTTAAAGAAATATTTCGATTTTAGATTTTACATTGATTTGTCATGGTTGTTTAGTACATGCGTTGGCTTAATGTTATTTCTTATCGAAATTGGAGTGATATTTTTCGTAAAATTCTATTCAGTTAATTATATCACTGCCGCATATGTAACAACTGTCATGTTGAGTAAGTTATATTTATTTTCTGTAAAATCTTTATTTTTTTTCTGGATCGAAAGAAGTTGAAGTAGAAAAGTAGCTTACGTTATTTCTTGATGAATAGCAGAAAAAATCATTCATTCATATTTTTTCTGCCTTATTTCAATTTTGAAAATTACAAAAATCTTATTTCATGTTTCAGTACCTATTGTTGTGGTGTTCACAATATTTTCATGCCTTATACATAAAAGTCGATTTATTCATTCGATGGATCGTGTGGGGACAAAAGTAATCGACTTACAAAAATTTCTAGTTGAGAATGATCGAACTTTGCAGAACATATCTACTGTTGCTGGGGCGTCTGCAGTCGTTAAGCAGTCTTCGGTAGGTCGTAGTTTGTGAGATATCCGAATTATTCAATGCTGATTTTTTATGACAGATCAAAAATTTTTAGTACTTTTATATTTTGCTACCAAATAGCAGCCTTTCTTGCAGTTTTTTCGGCACTTTTTAATTCACATTTCATTTTTATTGTCAGCTCTAGAAATCAAATTGTTTGAAAACTGATTTCAAGTATTCTGGCTAAATTTGAAGTACATGTGAAACATTCTAACCAAGTTACATCCAAATTTTTTTGAGAAATTGTTGATGTTGCTGTTTTGTAGAAGTTATTAAACAATTTTGGAAGCATATTTTTTGTTGGATATTACTGTATTTGCTATTATCTTCATTTTTCAGTTTTTAACTTATTATTTTTTTAAATTTATATTGGCAAATTTGATTTCTGGAATCATTTAGGCACAGAATTTGCCATGTTATTTTAGAAAGAAATGACTAGTAATTTAAAAAAATTTTTGAATTCTTCACTTGGCACTTTTGTTCTACATGTTAGCTTGTGTTCCTTTGCTTGATTTCTGCTTCTTCATACGAAAATTTGTATTGGACGTTTACAGACGATAATATTTACGTCTTTTAAGACTTGTTATTCTTTTCTTTGAAGTATAGGTTATGCTGCTAGTTGACATTCAAGGCAATCCATATTACAAGATAGAATTTTAATGTGCGAAGATCGTTTCGTGTGTAGAAACACTTCAAGGCTTAATGCTCAAAGTTTAACTCTAGTAACTTTTTCATACTTTCTTGTTGGTAGTTTGTATTGATTCTCTTACTCTTACTTTCTATTAAATGGTGTGAATTTTTGGTGTTGTATTGATGCCTCTGTCTCGAAGAGTAAGCGTACTATATGATATCATTTCGATTTGTTCAAGATAGCATCCAATTATGCAATTTATTGAGTTTTATATACTTTTCAGACTTAGCTTTTCATCATTTCATGTTAAATTTATTAGAATATATATTTATAGATCAGTGTGTTTTGGAATTTGTGATTGGTACTTTGGGATTCTAAGTAATGAAATTAGTGACATTGTAGAAATTTTGAGACCCTAATATTTATTTGTATATATTATAGAAGTGTGACAAATTTTCTACTTTTAAAGCTTTTGTGAAATATTTTGTAGTTCGAATTTTTTTCGTAAAAATATTGATATGTGCAGCATTTTCTCGAATTCAATTTCTATGTGCTGTGAACTGCAAAATCGGAAATGGCGAACGAAATGAGGACTTCAGAAGTAGTTGGAATGATTGCTTTTCTAACTGTAAAGATTTGAATATTGAAGATTATTTTGAAAGTATATATTTCAAAAGGTTTTCGGCAGTCGAAAATTAGAATTGCATTTCAAAAAAATATGTTGCACTTAAAAAGCTTTCAGTATTCACTACCAATTATTATTGTATAATAATATGAATTTTAGTTGAAAAGCGATCAAATACTGGTATAAGAAATGATCAAGAAGGACTACTTCAGTATATGGATTGATCAGTAACGAGATGAATTTGTCAGCAAGTTTAAATATAATGAGATCTGATTACTTTCCTGTTTTAATGATGAATTAGAAAGCAAAGACAGGATTATTAGATTTTTTTTGGCATTATTTATTGGTTATATTCAGTGAAAACAATTTAAAACATGAATATCACCTTTGGTAATGGTATAGTGATTGAACGGAAATTTTTCTATCGGTAAAATGTTATGTTTCACTTGTTTTTGAGAATTCAACTATGAAGTATGTCTTAATTTGGTTGTACTGACTTACACTACTATATGTATGTTTTTTTTGTAGAAAATTTAGACTGATATTGTTGTATTTTTGCCATTTTAAAAACTTGTCAAAGCCTCTATAATCTTGATACAAGTCATTATTACGGGAATTTTAATATCATTAACGAAATAATAACAAATTAATAATAATTTTAAATAAAATGATTCCAGTGCTATTTCGAAGCAATATAATGGTATATCAAAGACCATATAAACAATGCTACCACAAAACCTGCAAGATAATAGACAGTAATTTGTAGTATAAGTAAAAGATTTAGTTTGTTTCTGGACTTATATATAGACACAATTAGTAAATTTACTAGCTAAATAAGTAATCTTGTATTCTTGATAAAGACTTTTTGGTATCGTTTAGTTTCAAAAAAAATAAATAGTGATAAGGAAATTATGTTTAAAATAAATCATATTCGCACTAAAGATTTTGTGAGACTTAAATTTCCTGCGTTGATTTTGGTCGTTTGAAAAAACATACCAGTTATAGGTTGCAAGCTAGTTGAACTCTGCTCTAACCATTCATAGTCATCTGGTGGGACTGCAAATTTTCATAATTTTGAGTCAAATTTACATCTGTATCAATGACGTGCCCGTTACATTGTTGTAATATTTGGATTTAAAAATTTTTAGGATGTTGGATAAGTTTAGGAGTTCTTACCTCTTCAAGGATGTAATCCACTATTTCTTTAAGATAATATTCTCCCTGCCCAAAGTCACTTCTCAGTTAGAAAGTAAAACAAGATGTAAATCAGTTGTTTGATCAAGTCTTGTAAAATTGAACTGCAGAAATAATGTACCTGTTCCAAACATGGAAAAATGTATCGTTGGTGTGGTTTTTGTAAATAACCCAAAGGCAAAACGCTGAAATTGATCAAATTGCATTTGAAAATTAAGATGCAAAGACTGAAATTATCATTCATTGATCTATACATACTCTTTTTGTCAACTGACTTTAGTTATGAATGAGTGAAATAAATTGGTAAATTCTGATAGCTTATCTAGGATTCTGATGTAAAAAATTGTAGACAGTTTCTCAAAAACTTACTGATCGTTTACACAGTACCATCCATCTATAGTTTTTTACATCATCGCATGGTATCATATTTACTGAGGTTTCAACTGGCCCTGTAATTACAGAGTTAAGCTAGGCTGCTAATCACTATAGTGTTTTACTTTTCAGACTGTTACAATTAAATTCATTTTCTATCTTTGAATGACTCATTTGATTTAAAATCTAAAAAATTGTCATTAAAAATCTGGTTGTTCACTGCATCAAGATTTGACATTTTGAACTTTTATGGATTACATTGATTACTGAAATATTTGTAGTATTAAAACATGCAGACGAAAGTGTTGATTCTGCTAATTTTAATATATAAAATCTTAAATGCACTCAAGTTTATTTTACTTTATCAAAGATTTGATGCAAACTTTTTTAGTAATTTTTGAAAACTTAAAAATGTAATAAAATTATTGACTTTAAGCAGTTCGTTAGAAAAACTGATCGTAGGAGCACAGCACGGAGCAGAAATAAATTACTGTGATCAAATTAAATTTAATACCATGGATGACATGAGTGTATCCGGTAAAAGTTACTCAATAGTTAATGTCTAGTGATTATTTCAATTATCGCAAGCAAAAATTATCATAAAGTGAAGGACAATTAGCAGTTTGGAAGACTTAGCATTGCATATTTGAATCGGAGAGTACATTTTGATAAGTTACATTCAAAACTATTGATAACAGATTAATTATCAGTAGTTTGACTTGGTACTTGCTAAGATTTTAATTTTTTGAAAGTTTTTGCAATTTTCATCTGTTCAAAAGGTCTTTCAATAAACGAGGAACTGCAGCCATACTGCAAAGTATAGCTTCAGATTTATTTCTTATCATCTCAGTGTATAGAAAGTTTACTTGTAGAAATTAAAATGACTTAGTAATGTAATGTAATACTAGCCATATATAAAGTGAAGATCATTTCACTGATTATTTAAGATAACTTATCAAAGCATTGAACTTTAAGCAAATTGTATGGAATCATGGAAACAAATCGTCATAAATGAGATACATTGTAAAGTTGGCAAAAAAAATCAGTTCTTTTAGTGATAAAAAAACACTTGAGTATTTCTAACTTGCTATTATCTAGAAATGGGGAGATATCAGTGAAATTTTCAGTGCAAGTCCAGTAGAGTGAACTCTAACTAATTCTTTTACTTGCTAATTACATTCAGATGAAATTGTTTTCAACTTGAGTGTTGCTTTAATAATCATTGTAAGTAAGCCACGTTAAAATTTTGTTTAAGTAATTCATGAAATAGGTCAAAAATTAAAATTATATCATACTTGTTGGCGTAAAACGGCCAACCAAAGCGTACCGAGCACAAGGTAAATTAGAAGCATTACTATGAGCATGGATCAGCTTTGATTGATAAGCATCAACTGATTCAGGTTCAAACTTCCCATAACGTTGTACTCCGCCAAGCATTACATACAATGAGGTCACATTTAATTTTTGCATTTCCAATGTAGTACCTACACATTGTAATTATGAATGTTTAGTACAATTAAATTAATTTGAAAAAAAATTTGCACGAATGGTAGAGTGATTATGAACAGTAAACATTTATTTTAGATCAGTTAATTTATTTTTTCTTCTAAATCAGAATAATGTTTTTGTACTACAAGTCAATGTTGAGCATAGATGTAATAAAAGTTATTTACAAATAGTTGCGAGGAGTTACTAAATTATTTTGATTTACAATATTTATACGAAATCAGTTGCTAAATATGTTCAACTTCGATTGCAATGCAAATTATCATATCTATCTATACTCCAAATTTGATCATATTTAATAATAAAAGTTCGATCATAAATAAACTTGCTCACATTTAAATCAACTTACTCAAGTTTACATTCATCATTATTGCATATTAAAATTAATCTAGCATTGTATTTGTGCAATAATTATTACTAATAGTTTTTTGGTTGAATTCGATTTTAATTAAATTAAAAATTAAGATTTAGCTCGATTCTTTTTTTCGAACTATTTCTGTTAAATTTGATTACATTTCAATCTTTCTCAATTTCGTTTTGATTTTAAATTAAAAATTGTGATTTCTATTATTATAAATACTTTCAATAAGAGCTCTAATGTAATTCCATTCATCATCTGATTCAATAATTAAACTTTCTTGTCGTCCATTAGCTTTGCACAATATGTCATCAAATCTTTCGTTATTACTTCCATTAACATAAAAAATATATCAAAGATTAATTTTTAAAATTACAATACGAATATTTTTTGGAAAGCAAATTTTACTAATTTTATCTAATAATTGTGATATAGCCAAAATGTCTGTAAATAAAAAGTCTTAGTCATTAATTTTCAATCAAAAGCAAGCTTAACAAATAAATAACTGGTAATGTACTCGTATATCTGGTAAAAATTGGTAACAATAACTGCCATGCTCCACAATTTTTCCAGGGTCACAACCTAAAAACTAATCACATAAATGCATGTGTAGAATCGAATAATTATTCAAAATAAGGTGTAATAATTTTTATATTCGTTTTACATAATAACATTTTATCGACAGGCTATGTTATAACTGGTAAGTTATCTTACTTAATGAATTGTCAGATTACTCATGAAACTTAGTTTATTATTTTCTCAATATTTAATTCTTTCTATAACTTAATTGGTAGAATCCAGAATTCCAACCCATTTTCCTCCAGAACTGTTCAGAGTGTTCGCCGGTTGAAGTTTCTGTGTCCATATTGCAATTCATGATTTTGCTTGAAATGCAAATCAGAAAAAAAAGAACCAGCATTGCATAAATACTCATACGTTTATAAAATGTGAAGCAAGTTTTCGAATCTTTTATTTTACGATAAATTTTACAATCATATGCAAATTACATATGTAATATGCAAATTTAACAATTTTTTTTCCATTTGATTAAGAAGAGGTAAAATTTCTCATGCCATCAACACAACTTTAGTCTTACTCAGAAGTAGCTCACTAGTCACTAATATGGTATTTGAACTATTAAGAGCAAAATTTTTCAGAAACTGAAATAGCATAATACACTAAATTTAATAAATATTATCACCAACAATTATTTAAACTTTATAAGGCGACAAAAATGAACCATCTGATTTTGATGACGAATAATAGTAATCAAAGTTGTGCCCCAAAACACTTCGTGCATATTCGTTTACAACACATAATAGACGAAACAAAACAAAGCATAGCTAAAAATAATCAAATAGTTTAACAAGTTATACTTTTGTCAAGTTAGCGGTAAAATTCGAAAAATTATCACAGAAAATATTTTAAAATTTGAATTATAAGATCTTTAGGAAATTTTACATATCGCTTTATCAATATATATTCGAAAGTTTAAAATTTATATTTTCTCGATAATAAAGTAAATTAGTGTTATGAATGCAAGATTTTTTGCTTTAAATAAATAATGAATTAAGATATGTATGAAAATCTATGAAACAATTTTAAAGCCAATATTTTAGGTACTAATGTGCTCCTTCTAACTACTACTCAAGATAATAACAAATCATTATCTTGTTTGCTCTGCTAGAGGATTGTTTTCATTATCATCATCGTTATTATTCCCACTTGAATCTTTTTTATTATTTATTAATATTCAAAAAATATAAAAGCAAATAAATAAAATTGCTTTAAAAAAATGATATTTTATTGAAAAATAAGAAACTAACCTTGTATAATAGCAACAATAAACTGTAGAGTATTGATAGCAATGCCTATTTTTAACTGAAATAAGCATTGTTTGAAATCATACCGATTAACTTGCGTGAAAATATATCGTAAGCGTGGAATGTCATGCTCACCAATCACGCAAAATGCTTGATTGCGATCAATTTTAGGGTGCTGGTAAGTACCAGTCAGCTGCCAATTTCTGTAATTAAATTTTTTAAAACCTTAAAGTCTATTTCAAGTAAAACTACTGAACTGCTATCATAATCCATGCATTATTTTTTGATATCCCCATCATTCATCAATTGCAAAATATCCTGAAAATTTTCAACTTGTCGAAAAATGTTTTGAAAATGTAAAATTAATTTCTACAAATTTTAAACTTAAAATTATTTCCAAGAAAAGTATTTTAAACGAAGAATACTTTTCAGACTCAAAGAAATTATTAAACAGAGATAATCTTGTTATTAAATTTTTTCTAGCACAAAATTGAAGCAATACTTTATAGTAAAGATTTTACACGCATATTTAGCTATGTTATTAATATTTAATAATTGTTTCACTACAATATAACAAATGACAATAAAACAATTCAGAAGTAAAAGCATTTACCTAGCAGAAATTGCAGCGCTGACTGTACACATCATCATGCATACTAATGACAGAACCAAATAAGCAACGAAAAAATTTATTGTAGCACGCTTGCCAGCTATCGTACCTATCAAGGAATTTACGAGATATGATACTGATGTCCAAATTGCAGAATAATAAGGGCAGTATCCTGGAGCATCGTACACACACCATATTCCTCCTGCCAACATTAAAGCTGGAAAAAAACGGATAAAAATATTACAATAATTGAATTTCTTAAACAATAGAATTGTTAAATATAACTAGAATTACTTAATTTAGGCAAATATCGTCTACCTCATCCATATTAAATTGAAATACTCAATAATCAGTTCGTTTGGTAATTTACATTACATAATCTAATTCCTGAATATTTTTTTGTCACTTTTTTATTGGCTGACATTTTTGATCATTTATTTAGATCAACATTTTGATGCAAAATTTATCTTTTAAAATAACATATCATTATGTACTGATATTGTTGCAACTAATATACAGCGTGAAAAATTTACAGTACGTGAAAAAAAAATTGAAAGCAAACAAATAACACATTAATGCTAACAAAAAGTTTCTTTTCAGTGAGCTAATAATTAATTCTAGGAATTAGTTTTTTAGAAATAATCTTCATAAAGTGAATTTTCAAGTTTTATATTAAAGCACAATTTTTTCGTTGTAAATTAAAGGACGTTAAAATGGATAAAATATAAAATGATCACTTCCGATCACTCCTTGCAATAACGCTATTTTTAAAACACTAATAGTTTGCATTTCTTGGCCTATTTTTCTTACATCTGTTACTGGTTCCGCATAATCCGTTGGTGGAGGTGATGGCGGACTATAAGGTGGTGGTCTGCGAATTTTAGACTGGGAATGAGACTGACCATCACAACTCTGTAATTTCGTGTTTTATATAACATTTATTATTATTTTCATCATTGATTATTACAAGTAAATAATAACTATATCGTTTAAAAAGTTCTACACAAACAAAACAGTTCTTTTCTAATTATTGCAGAGATTTTTATCAAACGAAGCAACAACTTACTATTTGAGCTGATTTGTGCTCCATTTTTATCGAATAGTTTACGACTTATTAGCGAATAGTTTGAAGTAGATGAATGTATATTATATTGTATTTATGTTTAGAATTTTTGGTTAGAAAACAGCAATTTTATTATTTAAAAAATTTTTTAAATAAGTTCAAAATGATAGTTTTTGATTATGTTCAATAAAAATAAATAATAGTATCTTTATTGTGCATGAAATTTTTAATCTTTTGCTTGACCAAGAACTGACCTGATTGATAGTTACCTCAAGTTTAGGTGCTGTTGGTGTTGCTATGTACCGAATAGTGCTACAAGCTGCTTGACGATTACTGTTTACCATATTTTCGTATTCGTACAGTTCTACTGATGCCTTGTTCATTTCCCAATGCTCATTGGAGAAATGAATGTTAACGGTGAAATTGAGAAATTAATTTCCTGCAATTTAATCTTAAATTTTAAATTTACGTTTAATTTTTCTGATGAAAATTACATTGAATCAAACGAGTAAATTAAATCGAACATAAAAATAATTATCATAATTTCACAGCAAGTATTATACAAAAGCACTTTTACAGTAAAATAATTGAACTTTAAATTAACGAAATTAGGCATGATTTGTATGGTTCACAATAATCTGAGCAACTTTTAAATTAAAACAGAAAAACGAATTCGATCAATTAATTACTGTTATAATTTATTCATACATAGTATTAAGTATTCTATACCTTTTTATTAAATGCAATATTAATTTAAAGAATGTCTGAAAACTTTCACACTTTGTACGAATTACTTAAACATTCACTTTTGAACTACTTGTGATACACTTTCTAATTGATCTCTACAAAATGCATGTCCATTTGCTCGAAAATTTTTTGATGAATTGAACAGTGCCATTTAATTTCAATTCACATACGCCATTATGTTCGATTCTTAGATTTGGAACCAATGCTCAACAATTCTGTGACAAAAATCAGTAAAGTTACTTTTTATTCTGTGCAGAACTAAATTCGAAATTTGTTTTACATAAATTGAAAATTGCAATATTTATAAGAGTTTATTAAGAATGTGTAGGAAATATTACAAATTGAAAAAAAAAATTGCGAATGGAAAAATTAAACTGAAAAGCAAATTTGATTTTACAGCTTAAAAGCATAGATAAATATTCAAAAATAAAAACAGTGAACATTGTGAAGAAAAGTATGGAAAAATTAACTTTTCTTGCTCTCACACTTGTTATCTGATATTTTCATTTACATTCGGAAATGAATACCAAAGATATATCGAGGATGAAACGCATTATGTAAATAGAAGTAAATGTCGTGGAAAATAATAATAATAATAAATAATAACAATAATAATAATAATAACAATTATTATTATTATTACTATTATTAAAATGATGATAAAATAATACTAAGCTTCCCATAGTTCAGAAGATGCATGTACATTTTTTGATGAAGAAATGATTTGCAGTCAATATAGTAAAGTTTATCAGAGTCATTAATTAATTTCCGACCCCAACAAGTTTGAGATGGCATTCAAGTAATTTATAACACTTTGACTTCTAAAAATGACAGAAAAATGATTTTTTTATTAAATCTAAGCAAATGCAATCAGAAGATTAATTGCCGAAATTGAAAAAGAAAAAACCCTCACACACACATTTCTGAAATGAAGAAGTAAGTGGTAGTGAAGAGAAGTGAGAAAATCGCTACAAAAAGTTAAGAAGGGCTATATATATGGCATTGTGATTAATGCAAAACCTGTTCAACTAACTTGAAATTGAAAGTAATTAATTTGGAATTTTTGAAAGTCAAACGTATGAATTTAGTTGTGAGCAATTCAATTACGTGCATTTTTGTATGCAAAGATATTCTGTAATCTCACAATAACATTCGAATAACAGTGCGTTGTCATCACAATAGCAATTGTTTGTTTTTTTCCATTGTATTTATCACTGTTTATCACTTACCAATGTTGTCTGACTACAATGTTAATAATGCTGTTATTACTATAAATGCTCTTACTTTAATACAAAGTCTAAACAACGAAAGCATCGATGCTATTATTCTTATTATTGCTATTAATACTGTGTATGATGCTATTATATTTTGCTTTTATGTCCGCACATAAGTAGTGAAATTCCACATTAACGTATGGATTAAACTTTTATTATCAGTGCTTTCTGAGTTCTTATAATGAACGAATATTGTTACGTTTATTTGACGAGAAGTACGTTTCGCATAAATGCTCACTTATTCAATGCGTCACTGACACACTAAATACCAAGAGTACTGGGGAGAAAAGTAAATGATTCATTTGCGCGTGAAGATCGGTTTGTTGGCACAGCAAATATTCAAATTAGATATTCACAAAAGCGTTAAAAAAAAACGTGATTCTGACAATTATTCTGCTTTACAACTATTGCCATTTCCATGGAATGATAATAATTCAAGAAGGAATATTTTTCCTTCACCTAAAAAAATCATTTGCTGTGAAAATCAAAAATGTAATAAAAATTATTTTCAATCCCAAATTTCTCAAACGTCTAAACACTAACTAATCTGTTTCTTCTGAAAGTTGGATCATTTAAGACGATCACTTACAGTGACCTTATCAAAATCGTCATAATCAGTTGTAACAAGGTCATCATTTCATTGACATAATTTAATTCAAATTTAAGCACTGGTTAATAGCACATGCCAAAATAAAATTACAGCATTATTAGTAAAATAAACATAATTAATCACGCAGTTAAAAGCTAAAAAAATTTAAAAATTGCGATATGACAGTGAAAACATTTTAAATTTTAGCACAATTTTCCCAAGCGCCAATGAATTTAGGCCGTGCACTATTTGTTAGTCAAATGCTATGAAGATGGCTGGAAAGAAGCGAACTAAATTCGTTTAATACTTTAAATTTTCTGAAAAAAATTTCAATTTAAAAGATCAGTACTGTGATCAATTATTCTCTCATTCATTCATTTTCTCATTCACTCGTTCATTCATTCTTTGATATTAGTTCACTCAATTATTTGTCAACTTTTAGTTAGATTCGCGTTTTATTACTCGACTTAAGCGATAAATGAAACTTTTAATTGTATTGGATATTTAACATTAAGCAGTGGATTGGCTATACTTTGAAATAAAAAATCAAATTAATAACTTTTAATTGCTTACTATCATTATCTGTAACTGCTCATTACTATTCCCAAGCTCTTATAATACTGATTACATGGTAACCAGTCTATGTGCACATTTTGTCACTGAAATCAAATACTCATTTTCATTAAAAAGTTAAAACTTACTTAATCAAACAAACCAAAATATATGAAAAAAAATTTACGAAATGTTTGAAAATGAAATACTAATTTTATGTAGGATTTGATATAACTCATTATACACTTTTAGATCAACTACATTATATATATAATGTACAGGTTATATAATATATATGAGGCAGCGTTATTGGAAGGAACTCAAGGGTATATGTAAGTAGAAGATAGGAGTAGCAGAACTAGTAGAACATTAGCAACGCAGTGCGAGAAAATGTTATAATCATGACTATACTAAGAGGACACATTGAGGTCCTGTGATCATTTATTTGGGACTCTGCAAGAAGTATGGTCTGAAAGCATTCCCGCGCATGCTAAGTCATTCTGTTCAGGAGGTCGTCGCGAATGAGAACGTACAGATCCGAGTCAATACGCGAGTGAGAACAGCTATAAAGATTACAGTGGATCGACCAGATATAATGATATACGAAAAGAAGCGACATGAAGTATTACTGACAGAGGTTGGCATCACCAGTCAGGACAGGTGGACAGCAGTCGAAGAGCGAAAATATGACCTACTTGCTAATAAAGTTGGGTCAGAGATGAAATGCAGGACCAAAATAATTACTATATGATGACTTTGGATCAGATTGTAACGAACTTGCATAAACGCTATGCGAAGGAGATCAGGATATCTGATCATGTGGAGGCACACATCCAATCGATAGTTCTGAAGAAGACGCTCGGAAGCGTCTCCTTCGATAATCGTTATGGATGTCACGAGAACGAAGCAAAAGAGATCAGCACAACAAATCTGAACGCTGGACAAGTACAGCGAGAGCGCTGGAATACGATCAGCGGCAGAATCAATAGAACGGATAAACAGACTGACCTCCACATTTTATTTCTTAACAAAGTATTGAATGGAATTTCCAATAACTTTAAGTTTTGAAAATTTTAAAAATATTTAGTTGAAAGATATTTTATTATTAAAAAAGTAGGCAAATCTGTTATTAAAATGTTTAATGTAAAACAAATAGATAAAGGTTGAAGACAGTTTTTTAGCTAAGCAGATGATGATGACTGCTTGACTAATTGAATGTCTGATAGTTAACTCAGTGACTGATAGAATAGCGGACTGATCGAGCGACTCAATGACTGGATGACTGAATGACTGAGTAAGTGAGGGAGTGAGTGTGGAATGGATACTTTGTGTTGTTATTTTGAGCGTTGCCTGCGAAAAAGAAAATACATTTCTTAATCAGACAGCGAGGGCAAAAGGGAAGAACCGACGCTGTTGCCCTCAAAGTGAATTCAGAAAGGGTAGAAAATTACTCGCAATAACAGGCAATCAATCAGACAGTTTTTCATGAAATTTTATCTTTTAAATGAATATTGCACTTAAATTGATAAATTTTCAGTACTTATTATTAAACTTTTTAATTTCAACAATTTGCAAGTGTAGTTTTGAATATTAAAAATTCAAAATTTACGCATTTCAAAATGAATATTTTAGTAATAAAATATTAAATAATAAATAAATATTTTAAATATATATTTTAGTATTAAATATTTTAGTAATAAAATACTTATTTTGAAAGTAATAAAAATACTTATTTTGTTTTTAATTTCAAAAATTTTAGTAATAAAATAAGGCATAAATTTGTTATCCCTCAAATGAATACTGCATTTAAATTAATAAATTTTCAGCACTTATTGATAAACTTTTTGAAATGAAGCCAAAGCTTACGGCAATTTGTAACCAAATTGTAATCAAAATTCTTTCAATTAACACAAACTTTTCACATATTAAAGATAGCATCAAATTTTTTGATAGAAGAAAGTTCTTCGCAAAAATGATTTTTGACAGTGATTACAATTTAGTTACAATTCTAAAATTGCTGACATAAGGTAGCATAAAAATGCATTTGAGGGACTTGAGATAGGAGGTTGAATGAAGCCAAAGCTTAGGAGAAGTTTTTGCTAAAACAATAAACGAATGAATCACAATGCAAACAAGCAGTCAATTGATAGATTCCTTCAGTTCTTGAGCGATTCTTTTTAAGCTAGTAGAAAAAGCTAAAAGATGAGTGAAGATGAAAGTTTCGCTTCCAAATTCTACAAGTTAATTATTGTTCCAAGAATAGATGCAAGTCAAAAAGTCAAAAAGTTTTCGATTTGTTTTAGAGTTTAATCTAATCTTTTTCTTTTTTGGCCCAGAAATTCTAAAATAAGCGCGAAATTGCGATCTTAATTTCTCAAAAATGAAACTGAGTAGATAAAGTTAGGTTACAAAAACAAGCAGTTTATAGGTTATTTTTGGAGTTTAAATTTTTTATCTTCTGGAAAATTAATCTCTAAATTAATTTTTTTTTCATAAAAATATAAAAACTGCAAGTAATTTCAGTTATACTTTTGTTATTATCAACAGTTCATAACTTAAATTTTTTTAATTTACACTTGGCGATGCTCTAAATTAATTGGTTTATTACGAGAATCAGTTGGATGGAAGAATAATATTTTTTTTGATACTTAATTCTATAAAAATTATTGAAAGTTATGCATTCTTTTCCTTCAATTATGCAGCTGTCTCACTTTATTTAAAAACGACACATGAGATTATGAATAATTACAATAATAACAACTTGAAATGATAGAAATAGTAATTTCAGATGGCAACAATGGAGTGGATTTTCACGTATTTTGTTTGTTTCGTTTTATTTACATTACAATAATCTCTGCATCACATATAAATGTCAATTTCCAATCCAAATGCAAAATAAAAGCTACATTTTTCAATGCAAATTACCTTTGAACTATTTGGCAGTTATGCACACAACTGGTAACCCAGCAACCGATCCTCACTGAAAGCACACCGGACTGACTTATTCTTATATTCTTATGCATTTTCATTTCACAGTTTTGAAAATGCAATTTATAAGTAATTTATACGTACAGTTATTATAGCTTATTATTACTTAATGAATGTTGAAATTATAATTATAATTATATTATCATTTATATCTCAATTGTTTGCAATTTTTTCTCTCTTATTGCTGATTTGTCAAATTTTAAAGTTCATAAGTTTCAAACATTGGATTTGCTTAACTGACACCGAATTTTATGGCTTTTGTTTGCTTTCTAGCGATAACTTTGATTTTAATAGTTTGTATTTGCTGTGATTACCAACTTCTTTTTAATGCACCAAGTAAAAATGAATATAATTTTTAATCGTGTTTTCTTGGGACCAATATTAAGTTTTCACCATGTTATGTAGCATATGTTTTGATCAGTTAAGCAGCTAAATCTTTTGATGGGACGAACAATACTTTCAAAAAAATACATTCTCTCTAAGAACATAATGACTTGAACCGTTGCCTTACTCAGAAGATGTATTAACTTTATTGACTTTGCCATTACATATCCGAGATTTTTTTCAAGAAAACTGACAATAATAGCAAAATTTTTTACTAAATTGATTATTTTGCTATATTAATTATTATCAATAATTAATCAGTCATGCAATACTGAAATTCAGCAATGATTATTTCGAGTGAGAATAAAGTAGAGAGAGGAGATTCATTGTCAAACACAAGTAAATGAACGCAGTCAACTTCTGTTTCCTTCTGAATTATTTGTTTGTTTTCAAAGCTTCCTCATAATAATAATACTTTTTTGTGGCTATTTAAAGTTCATTTTCGGTAGGAAAGATGGTGATTTGCAGTCAACAAACGATGCATCATTAAAAGAGATGAACGAAGGAAAACGAGAAGATCGTGTTCATTTCAGTAGAAGAAACAGTGCTAAGGTCAAAGAGGTTATCTTAATTATTTGTTACGTTATTCTCAGTATGAATTCTTCATAATGAGAATTAAACGTAACTAGGTCAATTATTTTTCCAAGTCTGACTCAAATTGACATTTGCAGGAGCTGTTTTAAAATGTATGCATCGAATTTTATTCTTATTAATTCATAATAAAGAAATTTCAATTTCAAAGTTAAAAAATTGCAGTTTGAATCACAAAAATTCTGATTTTATTACTACAAAAATTGAAATTTCTCGCTATTTTAATTAAATTACAGTAACTCTAACTTAAAATACAATTATTATGATTATCTTCTTGGGTAAGTAGAATTAATATTAACGATCGCAGTATGAACAATACTTTATTAAATGCTTAGAGTAATACTCAAATATCATTGATTGTCAATACCATATCATACCATATAAACATAACAAAGTATTGACTAATTTTGTAAAATAGTTTAAAAACAGCTTGAAAATTTCAATATTTTGACTATTTCTTAGTTTGGGAGACGAAAAAAGCAGTTTCTACTCCGTCAAATTTCCCATTACACACTTTAGTACACTTCCAGAACACGTATTTACAAAAGTAATGAAAATATCAAATTCAGTTCATTCAATATACACTTAAGTGTTGATATTTTTAGGAAATTCACAAACCGATTAAGAAAAATGAAAAAAAAATTACTGAAAATACGTCAATTGTTGAAGATGAAAAAATTCCTCTCAGCTCAATTGATAAAACGAGAAGAAATGTGCCATCTGGTGGTAGAAGTCAAACTCGGAGTAAGCTGTTAAAGCCGAATATCGTGAAGATTCGAAACGCAATTTCAGAGGAGTCAAGAAAAAATTATACCTCTGAAAACAGAAAAGAAAAATTGCAAAAAACAATTAATGCTGCCAACAATTCGATTAATGTAATCAAAGACAATTCTATCGATAAAAGTTCTCGACCATTACTTAATAGAAAGAGTTCAAAATCAAGCTTTCGACATTCAGAGATATCTAAAAAATCACTTCTACAGCGGATTCCATCACTTAAAGAATCAGAAATGCCTTCGTCAAATTTAGACGAATACAATTATAAAGTATGTTCCTAATCTTGTCCATAAATCTAGCCATTTTACAACTGTCTGAAATAAAATTCTTCCACAAAATTTACTACAAATAAATGTAAATAACTTTTGCAGTAACTCATTTTTAGGATTATAAGTGCGAAAATTATTTTTGTAAAATATATTTTTTGAAAAATATAAATTACGATGACTAAATATCAATAGAATTTTCTCCAATAAAATATTAAAAGCAATGTACATTATTGTAAAATCAAAATAGTATGAATTTTAAGTTTTGTATTTGATTCAATTACTCTCACTTATTTACTCAGATTCTTGCTGTTTAGCAAGCACAGTCAAATCTGATTTGTAATATAATTTTGATTACTTGATAATAAGTATTAAAGTTCAGTTGATGAAGAAAGATTAAAAATCTTAATCATAATCAACAAAATTGTATTTTACAGGATGATTTTGAAGATTATGTTGATGATTTCGAAGAAGACTCAGAAAGCGAAGAAGAATCGGAAAAATTTGAACAAAATAATCAGAATTTTGAGCAGAAAAATTTGCTGAATTCTCAATTTGAGATAAATGAGAACACTTCTACCGAACCCGACAAGAATGAAGAAGATTTCGATTCACCATTATTACAACGCTTATTAAACTCTCAGTGGCATAAAAACGATACTAAAGTCTCAACGGTATTATTTTCATGAATTGTTCTTAACTATTAATGAATTCATAATAATTGGAATTTAATAATTTATCAATATTTAAGCAAAAAAATGCAAAAAGTTGGTAAACAATACTCATAATATCAACAACACTTTTAGAAAAACTAATTGTTAATGAAAATTGCTGAAGTAATTTTGACACCGATGTTTTTAATGCTTGCTATCTAAATGCAACTCTAAACATTTTTGTGATAACAATTCAGAATAATAATTTTGAAAAGATAAATCATGCCACTACCAAGCAGTAATATTATTATTTTGTAAATAATAAGTATTGGTACAAAATTACTGATACAAAAAAATTAACACAGAAAATAACTAAATTAGAATAACTGAATGAATTTAGCCAATCATATTTCAGTCTCACAAAGATTTCAAATTCCAAAATCGAGAAATTGATCTTACAAATTTGCCTACAACAGACTGTACAGAAAATTATGAAGTGCGACATCGCTATCAAATATTAACCAAACTAATTGGTATTATTTGTTATGAGTGAAATAAATCTTTATAGAAAATTCTTATTAAAATCACTGTTTATTTCATTTACATAAGTGAATATATGACAAAATTCTTTGTATTATATTTAAAAAATTTAGTGAAAGTACAGCAAAAAACAAAATTTTGAATGATTTAGTGATAATTTACAACAGGAATGGAAAGAATACAATTTGAATTACTAGATCATTATCCGATTCGTGATTATGACTTCTATATGCAAATGTTTGGCCATACAAATAAATGCCAGGTTAGAATAATCTGAAATAATTAATTCAAATTTGAAATATTATCCTTTTTTCTTACAATAAAGCTCATTACAGCATCTTTTCGTTTGAATTTTTTATAAAAAAGCAAATAGTTTGCTTAAATTTAATCAAATTTAATATTCACAAGGTGCTTTCATACAAATATAGATACACAAACTTTAGACTATAAAAATTACAGGCTCAAACGCAAACACGTGAAGATGACGTAGATATCAGTATTCAAACGGATGAAGTAGATCAAGAAACTGTCTGGACCCAATATCCACATCCAGGCAATTAACATTAGTATTTACTTTTTCTGCACGTTACTGGGATCATATTTGATATTACAACAGAAATGTACCATTAAAACTAAGCAAGAAGTCATTTTTTGGCTTTACAGACCTAAGTCAAAAATTTTTCAAAAATATTCCTGATTTTGTAAATTTTCAAATTATATTTCAGATTCTAAAGGTTGTGGCATTGAAAATGATTGGGAGAGCAACAGAACGAATGAAAATTTCACTCTTCAGGAAATTGAATTCTTTAAAATGAATCCTTCTAAAACAAACAAATTGCGTCATTTTGTTACTACTGTTGGTCAGGTAATTGAACAACCAGTAATGATGCAAAGATTTTTGAACTTAAATATATTACTGACAAAGTAGTAACGTCATTTATTAAGTTATTAATTACTACAAAAGTCTTCTAATTACAGTATAACTGATTTCTTTTAGTGCTAGCGATTAATTTATTCCATCATATGATAAGAATGATATGACGAAGACAAAATTATGTACTTCATTCAGCAACTTATTCAACCAAAATCGCATACTTACACTTATTGCTATTAGTAAATGAGTCTGCATTATATCTGAAATTAAAAATGAATACAAGTATAAATTGTCAACATTTTATTACAAATATAAATTTCGGCTCAATTGTCATACTAAACTGAAATTGTATATTTGTATATTATTTGATAAAGTGAAGATTATTACTGATAATTCAGGTTTTGATTGACTTGACGCAATCGTCGAAAAGCTCGATGGAACCGAAACTTGACTATACTCATTCTTACCTTAAATGCAGCGCAGGTTATAACAAGTTTTCTACTGGCAGTCTTACAAAGTGTAAGTTTGCATTCAGTTGCAATAAGTTTGAAGGAATCAGCATGAATGAGGCATTCAAATCATTGATGTTATACTACAGCAAATTGCAAGAGTGAAAAAACTTGCAGCTTCGAAAGTTACATGCGCGCTGCATCGCGAAGATTTATTGTTCATAGCATTTTACATTGAAGAGACAGAAGACGAAAGTATTATTGGCAAAAGTATTCTTGTTGAATTCAATATTTGTATATCAAATCACCCAACACGGTAGAATTCGCAATTAATTATTAGGATTATTCACAAGTCAATTTTTTCGAATATTAGACTAAATTATTGAAAGGAAATTTTGTTATTTCTCAAAGCAGTTGATTGAAATTAGTTCACAAATTAAATTGACAAAAAATAACTATGACGAATCTGATGCTGATTTCAGAATATTACTCTGTGAAAACGAAATTCAATGCCTTTGCATGGCACCGGATGGTACGAGTGCTATATTTGCTGGCCTGGCAAGTTAGATTAACATTCCTTCACTTTCTACCTTAAATTCAAAAATGTCACAAGTTCAATAGGTCAGCGTTAGGGTCACAGCCAAGTGTGAATTCAAGCAAAATACTTTAGAGTACAAAATATAGGAAAAAGTTGCAAAAAGTAATTGACAACATATATGCACAATGCATATATCAATGCTTTCAAGTTATAATATTCCATTTGTATGTGAATACATTATAATTATTTAAATTTATTAATTAAGATGAATCTGTTAAATGAAGAGAATAGTGAGGGAAAGTTATTCATTTGTTGTATTGTTCAAAAATAATCACACTTAAACAGAACGATGGAAGTTGCGTGGCATATGACCTGCGAGAGCGTGATTCGTTGTTTTTATCAGTTTTACGATGGCCTGAAAATAACAAAACATATCCGTTAAGGACTCCAGCTTACGACACCTCCTTCAGGGCTTTAAAAATCCAAGAACTCGACGAGCAAGCCTCAATTGTAGCAATTTCAGAAACTTCGATTGCTGTAAACAAGTAACTTCAACGTTTGTAAATAATTTGGAAATTTTTGAAACAAAAATTATATGAAATAACGAAATTTTTACTACTATATCGTTCACTTGAAGAAATTTCGTCTTGCAGTCCAGAGACATACCAGATTGTAACTATAAACGAAGTTGGTACTGTAAATATATGGACAGTAATTAATGATAAACTATCATCATTAACAGTGGATGAAGAAGATCTTGGATTAAGGCCAGGAGCGCAATTGAAATTGAGCCAGACAATGGTAATAAGACCAGTGTCAAGGTCAATCTCTATGAAATTCTCAACAAAATTCATTTCTGTATCCTATTCTAATGCATCAACTCACTTGATAAGTTACACAAAAGAATAATGTGGTTTTGGTGGTTCTTTTTATTTGCAAAATGATAAATTCTTGTGAAAACATTTTATCCAACATGATCAATTCTTGCAGACGACCGGTGCTTTGTGATAAACTAGATATCTCTTCTTTCAGAATCATTATGATTCGAAAATTTAAATTGAGCTGTTTGCAGTAACTTCTGTACATTACAAAAAACAACTGTGACTTGTATGGTTATGGTGCCAGAAAATCCAGGACAATTTATTACTGGTACTAGTCGTGGAGATATTAACACTTTTGTGAGAAGCAAAGCCATTAAAGTGATTGGACCAAATATGTACTCAAACCAACTCGGTTCCTCATTATTTTTTTGAATTTCAATCTTTGATTAATTTTGATTTTACTTTATAAAATTATTATGACTATTCACAAGACAGCTTTCTTGCCCTGCTATTACTTCGGTTTTGCTGAACTCATGAAAGGGTCAGATCAAACTTTTAATTATTATTTCTTGAACTTTCTCATAAATAGTTCTTGATCCAAACATAAGGATTCATGTAAAGTTTCAGACACGACATCGGAAGTGGTTTGCATGTCATTTTCAACCTTTGAACCATCTTTTTTTATGGTAACTTCGCATGCTTGATTTTTTTCATTGTACAGAATTCCAGAGGGTTTAGAGTTAAAGATAACAATTAAAATAATTGTTTTTCTACTTTTATATTCACTATCATTTCTTCTTAAATTTTAAAGCTTCCTTACTAACTAAATATTTATCAAGTTACACTTTTTCACTTGATGCTAAAATGACTAACACATATTTATAGACTGCATTTTCAACGGGATTCATTACAGTACATAATATCCATCATATGCAAGCAGTTTTGATTCTACAACTACCTCAAACTGAAATGCAACCTTTAATACAAGTCTTATTTTCCTTAAGGCAAGTTCTTCTTTCTATCACTGAACTAGTTTACAAATCCTTCTATTATCCATTAAAAATTTTTAAACTTAAGAAATGGTAATGTTTATTGAAAAAAATATCTTAAATAATCCAAATATTGAGTAATGTGAAATAATCTAAAATTGAAAATGGCATTTTTATGGTGATTATTTTCTAGCATTCCTACTATATTCTATACAATACACAAATATGGCTTATTACTAGAATGGGATTTAGCAAAAAGTAAAACACCGAATATAACTTATAATATGAATTTGAAAAATGGACTGGAAATAGTAGCAGCTACGATGGGGCTATATGCTAATGATTCCAAATTGGATCTCTTGGTTTGCAATTACTTTGCGACCTTCAATAAAAAATTAAAAAATATACAACAAAATTTAATTTTTTCTTCAATGAGCAATGATTTCTAGTGTTGATTTCAGATATAAAACTGATAAAACTTTAATTGTGTAAAAAAATTGGCTTTTTATCCTCTTGAAATGGCTTATATTTGCAGACAATCAGTTTCAATAATGGCGAAGTTGAATTGCACAAGTTACTGAAGTCACCAAACACTTCCAACAACCAAAATAAAAATTCCTCGCTATTAAAAGCAATTGAAAGTATCAATAATTTGTGATAACTTTGAAAAGAAAGAAAACTTAACCAGAAGAAGTACATCTTTCATTAGCCAAATTATTTTTCTTGATCTGTTCCCAACTGCAATCTGAAATAAAGCTTGCTGGCAAACGAATAATTAAACTTCTAAATAGAGTGTAATATTTGATTGTAAATGACGCATATTCTTTGGATAAGTCATTTTTAACACAAATCTCTCCTCAATTCTTTTCACTATTGAAATGTTCAATAAATCAAAAGATACAATGTTTATATATACTTTGAATTGATAGCTGACGGAAATAATTATTCTTGAGAGTCAATTTTAATTTCTATCTTCGCCAATTAAAGGAATTATTTACAAATGGAATTAATATGCAACTTCTGAAAACCTGTTTTATTCTTGCTTTCTAGTATATTTATTTGTGGCAGACTGATTATTCAATTCTGAGAATTATTTAACAAAAATGAATAAACGCAACACATACACGCTAGCTCTACAATTATATGAAAAATACAATACTCGATGAAACTAAATAAACTTTTTGGAAGAAAATAATTAAAGTAAAAAGTAATGAATATATCAATGCAAAAATCAGACATCACACGCACTTTTATAATGTAAATCAAAAATTTGGCAAGTAACCAAAGTTTAAATCATCACGGAGTACCTCATTTGTGTTAACACCGATAACAATCTAACAACACAGCACGTACGTACTGGTTATCGATTATGAGAGAATGCTGAAGTGATTTCACGGAATTTCGCAATAAATTGTGAGTATTGAGCAGAAGACGCTCATTTGCGAAGTCAATAATTTCACTCGTTCATGCTCTCTATTTTTTCACATAAATCCTTATGTCTCTCTAAACTCATTCACTCTTAACAATGTGTATCATAAATACTATAAGTACAGTATGCGAATTCTTCTGCTAAATTATTCCGCACAGTTTGAAATATTTAAAAATCTTAATTTGAAATAGCTGAGTCATCATTTCGATTAGATTATGTTTTCAGGTCAATGTCGAAATTGTTTCACGTGTTTTAGGTAGTTTTATCTTACTAAACGGTGCTTGTGGATCTAATAATTAGTGAAGCAGTAGATCGTTGCTCGAAATCAAAATGGATGAAGTCACTTGTTCGGCGCAAAAAGCTATTTCATATGACAAAGCATGCCATTGGGATGCAGCTATCTACTTTTATGTTGTTAGTAATTAATATTAACTTTATTGTTAACTTGTTTAAAGTCAGAATTAAAATCAACAACTTAATGATTCAGAATAAAAATCGTGGAACTGTATGACCAGTTCCAGTTTTTCTTTAATTTCCAAAAGTTTGTTTTGATGTTTTACTGTTTTTAAGCACTTTTTCAGCAAATTTTATTCACTTGCTAAATTTTGTTGATTTTATGCAATACTTCATGATGTACGAACTACATTTCAGGATGCTGCTGGAACAATTTTAGAATTGATTAGACAAGAAAAAATCTTACCTGTACATAGAAAAAAAGCTGAGGAATATATTAAACGTGCTGAAGCAATCAGGTCGTTAAGTAAGTAATTCATTTTTTGATCTTCACTCAATTCAGTTGCAAAAGAAAAATTAGTAAGATTTTGTCGTTGTCTTTTTATTACTTATTTTCAAATATTTAGATTAGGCAGAAACTTTTTTGAAACATTATTAAAACAGTACCTTGAGAAGGTGTTAGTTACAGTGATGAAGAAACAGTATTTTTGAGGTACGTCAAAATCATCCACAAATATCAAAAACCAGCAACAGCTTAACCTTGAACGAGCCAAATTTTTGCTGTACCAAGCATTGAATGAAGATGAAGCAGGACATAGTGAAGAAGCTTTATTATTATATTCTCAGGCTGTTGAGCTCTGCATTGAAACTTCAGTTTGTTTAACTTTTCAGTTCTTGAAACTAAGTCGTAGATAGATTTAGTTTCTCAAATTGAGTTTTAGATTTTGTAGAAAATGTCTTGTGAACTGTCAATGGTACGAAAATTGCATGAGTTAGCAGAGAAATCTTTGGATCGCGCAGAAGTTTTAAAAGCTGGAAAACTGAAGGCAAGTGAGGAGAATAAATTGAAGTTCCCGGAATCTCTTAATCATGGTAATTTAAGTTCGTATGTTTTTTCTTTCTGACATAAAACAATAATTTCTGTTTTGCATGATATTTTTTCGAGCTTTCGCCCATGTATTGATATAGAATTTTTAATGGGGAAAAATATTTTTGAATTACAGGATGATTTTTTTGTAATAAATAATGAAACTTCATTATTTATTACAAGTTGTCTAAATTGTGCTAAATTTTAATGCACACAAATATTGTAGAACTCTCCAATTTGACTGTAGATCCTGATAACCATCAAATATCTGCTAACTCTAGTAATAACACCACAAGTACATCCATGATTCAACATAATGTGAGTGGGCGAGATGACCGTCTTACGAAATCTGAATTAGCTGTATTAGCAGCAACTTCAAATATTAATGGAAGGCAGTATGTCCCATTCTTATCAGTCGACTTAAAAGAACGCTTTGCATATCCTCTACCGTTCACGTAGGTTGACCAAAGTAGATTTCGCGTAGAATAATATTTGGGAAATAAATAAAATGAAAAATAAATAACCCTAATGTCTTTTCCACCACCAATCAAGTTTTTTTCACTATCATTTTATCTCAAATGTTCTTAGGGACGAACATGGTTTGTTGTCTTTATCTGATAAGCAGTCAAAGCAGTTGAAGTTTTGGTTGCGTCCTGATGAGTTTATGCAGTCTCCAGCTATAATTGATCGAATTGATAGCGGTGCAATTAAACAGGTTCTTTTCACATGTTTTATTTTATTCTGATAGTATACTGCTTACGATTTCGTTGATCATTACTACTATTTATTATATGTGAAATTTCTTTAAAAATGTCTGTCTAGTTGAGTAGAATTATAGTTTTTTTGCCGCCGAAGTTTGCATAACTTAATGACCACAAAAAGAACACTCTGTACAAATAAAAATAAGTACAGTTTTTGATTTTCTAATAATTTGTATAAGGTATTCTTTGGTGCATGAATTTTGCTTACATTGTCTTTCATGAATTTCTATCATTTTTAAGTTTTTGAATTTACATTATTGCAGACGATAGTTTCTGATTGCTCGTTCATTGCTTCCCTAGCGATATCAGCTCGATATGAAAGTCGCTTCAAAAAACCACTTGTAACAAGGTACGGATGGAAGAGCTCATGCTTATATTCACAAGAATCTTAATTCCTTATTTTACTATGTATTTCAGTTAAGTTCAATTTATAGTATACGAAATTTAGAAAAAAAATGTGATAAAATCTTCAATGTTAATATTTATTTAATCACGGAGTTTTATTTTTTACTTTTGCATTTTCATTGATTGTACTTGGGTAACCATAATTTACTTTAGTGATAAAATAAGATAAACCGAGTACAATTTTATTTTATTTTGTTTTTTCATCACTTACAGCATCATATATCCTCAGAATAAGTGTGGTGTACCGATTTATAATCCTTGCGGCAAATATATGATTAAAATGCACTTTAATGGCGTTTGCAGGAAGGTGAGTAAGGAACTATGTTTAAAGAAACAACTGCATATTTGTCTTGCTTTCAGGATTGATTAAGTTTAACTTTTCTTTTCCAGTTATTTCTTGATACCATAGAATTTCGCCTGAATAATTGCTATGAAATCTTCGTCTGAAAGCACCATATTCAGAAAGTGAAATTACGAAAAATATAACTTGTGTTGTTTCCTATATCATTACAGATAACAATAGTAGTACAGTGAGTTTTTTTCAGGTTGTCATCGATGATCGGTTTCCGATTGGAAAATATGGAAACTTTTTGTGTTCATACAGTCAGCAAAAGTTTGTTGGATTTTTTCTCGACTATTTTTGTACAACATATTTTCTTTGATTTAACATTTGAATTAGTATTTGATTTTAGGAATGAGTTGTGGGTTTCGCTGCTAGAAAAAGCTTATATGAAAGTGATGGGTGGTTACGATTTTCCTGGCTCGAATTCGGTAGAATTTTTGAGCTTCCAAAAATTTGTTCCAAAAAATTGAATTTATGCCTAAAAGTTTCAGAGTATTGACATGCATGCTCTAACAGGTTGGATACCGGAAAGGATAGGCATTAAAAAAGACTGGACCCTCAGTGATTCCGCTGCTGTGTTCGATAAACTCTTTACAAGGTTTGTTGCGGAGAAAAATATATCATTGAATTATATGTTACTAATTGAGCTTTACGAAATTTTTATCAGTTTTAATGTACTCTAGGTATCATAAAGGTCATTGTCTGATTACATTGGCAACCGGTCAAATGGATCAGATGACAATAGATCGGACGGGCTTGGTGGATGCGCATGCATATGCTGTATTGGATTTACGAAAAATACAGGTTTGGAAAACGCTTTTTCATTATTTGTATCTTTCCTTTCTCGAGGCAGTGTAGTTGCAGTTTAAAATCTTGGGATTCAGAACAAACGGTTATTGATGTTGAAAAATCCGTGGACACATCTACGTTGGAAAGGTCGTTTTTCTGAGAAAGATAGTCTTAGCTGGACAGCAGAACTGCAAAAAGCACTGAATTATAATCCTGCCGATGCTCAACAATTTGATGATGGTTAGTTGCTTGTCAAATTAATAATTCTAACAAGTATGAAATGGCTGTTAAATATTGAAATCTAGTAAAAAATTGTAATTTAGGCGTGTTTTGGATTGATTTCGAATCAGTTTGTCGTTTTTTTGATGTATTTTACGTGAGTTGGGATCCTTCGATATTTCCACATACTTATTGCTTACATGCGTATGTTCCTGGAAATATTTTTATGCCACTAAATAAAAATTAAACTTTTAAATAACTGTTTTTTATTTTTATTCCTTTCAGGATGTGGTCAGCAGGTGTAGGACCTGTGAAAGATTTATACAGTGTTGCAGATAATCCTCAGTACACATTGGAAATAAATAGTAATGGCTCCACTGCAGTATGGATACTACTTACGCGACATATCACTGATAAGGTTATCGGTTCTGATCCGTCATGTTTTCTGTGATGATTTTGTGAAATATTGATTGCATGATGCATGATTTCTTTTCAGGATGATTTTGCGAACAACAAGGAGTACATTACAGTCATAGTATACAAATCAGGAAATAAGATTTACACACCATGTAAAATCTTTGTAAAATTTGTTTTTTAATTTGACTCTTGAATTCTTTGTTTAAAAAAATTAGTATAATTTAGAAAAGTAGCAAATTTTGTCTTTTATTCATTTGAACTAGCACCGTACATGTTTTCAAAACGAAATTTTTTTGCAAACCTTAATTCATATGTGGGAATGAGTACGATATGATTGGAACTAAATTATCGAATGATCACAAAAATACTGTTACATGTAGTATAGTGTTTGAAGAAGATAATTCTAGCTAATCCCAAACCAGTTATGGATGCAGTACGTTTAAATAGCCCTCACTATTTGTGTCAAATGGTTGTCAATGAATTAGGACGCCAAAAATATACATTAGTCATTGCTCAGGTGAGTCCTTTTGTTTTTTGAAAAACTTTCGATGTTGAAAAATGTCTCTTGAATGCTGATTGCTAGTAGATTTCAATCCTAAAATCATTTTATTTTCACCTTCTAAAGTTTACATAATAGTCTATTATGCATAAAATTTTTGTTTGTTTATCACTGTCCAAAATTATGACTTTGTTAAGTCACGAAAGTGTTTTTCAGTATGAAAAGATGAGGACAATTTATTATACGTTACGAATATATTCCACAGCGGAATTTTGTCTTCAAAAAGTGAAAGTGCCTTACATTTCAAAGAAAAAGGTAGCCTTGTTTTTAGCTAATATTTCATTGTTTTCTAATATAACTAGTGTTTATTTTGCTTACTTTAGGAGATTGGGGAGTGGAAGGGAAAAACAGCTGGTGGATGTGGAAATGGTGCGAGTCGAGAAACTTATATGTACGTTTGTATCGCCTTTTTTCTTTTGAAATTGTGTTTGTAGTTTATCAGCCATTTCATTTTGTAACAAACTTGATTACAAAGTTGACTTGTTATCTTTAATGTTTTATGACATGAAATCGAATGCTTAGTTTGAGTTATTTTTATAGGAATAATCCATTATATCAATTAAGTCTTGCTGCTGATAGCGATGAAAATTGCATTCTTGTGCAATTAAAGGGTCCCAAACAATATTGTATTGGCTTCGAAATAAAGCAGATCTCCTCAATGAGAAATAAACCATTTGAAAAACATGATTCAGGAGTATTTAGGTTCGAAATTTTTAATCAGTTCACACATTTATTGGTTTATACTATGTTTCAGTGAATTTAGGCCAGGATATACTGTACTTGCTATGGAAGGAGTACCTGCAGGGGACTATAGCATTCAACCGATGACATTTGATCAAGGTCAAGAAGGACCTTTCTTCCTCGTTGTTGAAGCGTCCTGTTCATTTTTAATGAAAAAGATACAGTAAACTACTTAAATATTTTTGGAAATGTAAACACTTTGGAACGATCATTGTCGCTATTGCAATTCTTGAAAATGTCATGTTGCTCTATTTTTTACTACTGTTATGTTTTTGTATTGTATTAAGTGAAAAATTGTTTATTAACAATCAAGTATTGCTCATTTAGCAACCAAGAACGTCTAATATGATAAGACCAAGTAAAATGTCAAATTTTTTAAATAGAAAACTTCGAAGCCGATAAAATTAGCTTGACCTTAAATTTGTATTAAAGAAATAAGAAACGGCAGAAATAATTTTTCCTACCAGCATTATTGGAGAATTCTATTTAATACTTTATAAATTTTTATTATCAAATCTAAATCGCAAAGAGCATCACTCATATGTTCTTTATTTTCCCATCCTAATTTACATTACTTATTATTTTTTTCTTAATCTACAAAATGATTGATGACTGCATCTGTAGGTTAAAGTCGTAAAATCCTTACTCTAAATTAAAATTGTAATTATCTCTTGTTTAGCTTTATAGAAAATTGATGATAGCTTGCAGTTTATTGCCAGTGCGATGTATTTATGTTCTATTTCATATTTATGTATTAGTATTTGTCTATCATTTGGTTTCTTAGTTAAATTAAGCTATATAAGTTAATTATACTGTTTAGTTTCTGCAAGTTGTAATTATTTTTCCATTTAAAGTTGCATATTTTGTATTGATTTCTAATAAATTATGAGGAATCCAATCAGTCATCACATTTCAAATGTTTAGTATTCTTACTAGATTTGAACCAATTTTTCAAATGAGAGCTACATCATTACTTAGACAGACTTTCTTCTTCATATTAAGTTATATTAATCATATGGGCAAGCATTCGTTTCAGCTTAAAAACTTGGGACATTTTTTACACTGAAATTTCATGCAGAAATGTAGTCCTTTACAAATAAATATTGATAATGTAAATAAATATTGATAATGTAATGAAGTCAGTTTATGCTATAGGAGTTAACGAATCTGTTGTCATGTAGTGTATGGAAAGAACTTTTAAAAAGTAAAATGATACATACCACTGTAAAAGAATGAGCTACAGAAATAGTGATTTTATAATTATGAATTTGAAAATTTCAGGTTACTCATCATTTTGAATGTGTAATTTCTGTGCAATGCAATTTTCACTTCTCTTTTTGGAGTTTGGTAATTCTGTATATCTCATTTATAAGTATAAATTATGAGGGAAGTATCATCTCATTCTCGACTCATATTTCCAGAGTTGAAATACAGGTTTTGGATGGAAAAAATTCTGAGTAATTAGATGAATCATTACTACACAATTTCTTGTCTGATTTATGCTTTAACCCAAATGGCAGCTGTTTATAACTTCGAGATTTTCTATTGCAATCACCAAATTGCAGTAATATTGAGTTGTGTAATCAGCAGAAGTTGAAACATGAGTGATCTAGAATTTATTTAGTAGTTTGTCCAGATTTAAGTGTTCTGTAGATCACAACTCTGAGATCATTATCTCAATTATTTCAGCAGAAATTTTTGCATCATAAAAAATATTTTTCCATCTCAACATAAATTTCGAATTCAAAAAAATCCGAAATTTAAGCTGAAAGAGAATGAATCTGATTGCTTTTAGAAGATTCAGTTTAAGCAGTGACTGATTTTTACTCATTTTCTGACATTGAAGTATCTTTTCAGAATTGTGTTTTACATTTAAGTGCTATGAAAAATTCTGTTCTATTCTGTCACGAGCGGAAATAACTTGATAAACTGAGAAAACTAAACTTGAAGTATTATACTTAAGTAAGATAAGTTTTATTACTTCAACAATTATCTTATTCTGATTATTCAATTCTCAGCAAGTTCAACGCATGAAGCAATTTTATAATTATCTATTGAACATTTTTGATTCTTAAAAATTTTTTAGTTTACTAATACTTTTTACCATCAATTTTTTAATCGTTAACTAATTAGTACTATTTGTTTTATGACTGCGATTACTGTAAATAATTTTATTTCCTAGGTAGTTTATGCAAATTATAAATTTGTTTCACTGATTTGCAACTTCTTTTCCATTCAAACGTGAAATGAAAGCTAATCAACCCTAAAATTAACTTTCACGCAGCAAATTAATTACAAAGTGTTCTCTAGCAGTGTGAATTTTAAACATATATTAATCTGAATCGAAAATCCCATTATAACAGACTTATTTGTTCGTTGATTTGTCTGTAGCTGCTAATCATACAAAAATTGCTTCATTTTTCTTTCGTCTTTTTTAAGGAAGTTGATTTTGAACAACAATTTATGACTTTTCTCCTTGCGATCTGTTCAAGCCTTTTTTTCTGTAAAATTATTATGCTTATGTGTTTTGTAGAATAACATATCTGTGTTAGAATTGCAAATATATCTTGATCACTTCAATAATAAAGATATTCTGCTTATTACTTATCAAATAATCAAAAATACTAAACAAAATACAGAAGTAATTTGCTTCATTGAAATGTGCGAATGTACTCGCAGTTATATTTACTACTTGCTGCGACGTTCTTTCGTTTCGAAAAGTTTGTTGATTCATGAAACAAAATTAAACTACGTTGTGCTTCTTGATTTCCGATCATTACTCTGCTAACTTTGAAAAACAAAAAATATTTGAGCCACATTCTTTGTGTATATTCTTGCAAACAATATACAAAATATTTTTAGAGTTAACATTAAGAAAAAAATGGATGTACCATTGCTGCAGTAGTAGAAGAATAATAATTTTTCTCATGCAATTAAAAAGTTTGGCAGAATTCGAAACACTGCTAAATTATAATGTTTTCTAATTATTCAAATTTTGCATTATACAAGTAAAAGTGATGAAGGAAGATATGCTTTTTCTTATTGTGGGTAAATAGTCTTTTGAATAGCAAAATTTTGAGACAAGTAATAACTTTAATTTACACTATGAAATTAATAAATAAATAATAAATGTGTACAGAGCATAACTTCAAATCTAAACAAAACTTTGAAGTAAAACTTTGATTGATTTGATAACCACGTGATCTAAAACGCGTGAGGCTGTCTTCAATCATTTCAAACTTACCGTGTATCATCTTCTGACATATTTTTATTCTTGTGCATTCGTTTACTTCTTATCGTTTGTATTTACTTTTTAACGCATTTAACCCTTTCGTTATAACTATCAGATTTCAGAAAGTAACATTATTAACATTATCACTTTTGTTATTAATATTATTGTTACTATTATTATTATGTTAATTACTACAATTATTTAAATGTATACTTTTTAACTGATTTTATTAGATGTTTTTGTCAACATATTGTTTTGCTTTTGGCTTTTCATTCCCTACTCGTTATTAGCTAATCGACTACTTTTACTTTATAATTTTACATTAGTTTCGATTTAATATTTCATATATATCTATGTGATAATTGTATTTATCATCCCATAAATATTAAATTTAGAACTTTAGTGGAATAATTCGGTGCAGTTTGGATAGACTGAAATGAGTTGAATGTAAGAATATTTTTTATAAATTTTCAATTCTTGGCACAAAATATATCTAAAATATGCAAAATAATTTACCAGTTCGTTTGTTTATGATAAAATTATTCAAAGTTTACAAGTTCGGTACAGAAATCATGCATGCAAAATTTAGAAATTTTCAGTTTACGAGAATTAAAAATGTTGCATATTTTATTGCTGACATTATCAATTTTGGTGCCTTACACATATGGAGCAGTTGGTGGATTAGTTGGACGTACTCAGTCTGCTGGTGCAAAAGGTTTTCTTACCTGTAATGGTCGACCAGAAAGTGGCGTACTCATTAAATTGTATGATGACGACAGAGGTTCTGATTCTTATAATTCTAATAATTTGAATAGGTTTTTATGAAGATTATATTGAAAGATGGACGGAAATGATTATTTTGTGTTTTTGATAATTTAGAAATAGCAAAAATAATTGTTTTAACTTTAAAACTCTAAACATACTTGATTGAGTATCAGTTATGTCGTGGTTTATTTGTTCATTACGCCTTTATTCGTTAATATTGCGTGTAATTTTAATTAAAAATATAGGATTCGATATTGATGACTTTATGGGTGAAACGATAACAGACTCACAGGGATTTTTTCAAGTTCAAGGATATAATGCGGAAATATCACCAATTGACCCTAAAATCAACATTTATCATGATTGTAATGATGGCTGGTGGGTAAGTGTAGCTAATTTAAAAAGAGCATAAGTAAATATTTTAAAAAAGCAACTTATTATGCAACAAATAGTTTTTAAAAATTAAAAGTTTAATCGAATTTTCACTTATAAAAAGTTTACATGCCTGAGTTTTTTTGCAGCCTTGTCAACGAAAAGTTAGCATAATGATTCCGGATCAATTTATATCTATCGGAAATGTGCCTCAAAAATTGTATGATCTTGGAACGATGGAACTTGCAGGTGAATACAGTGGTGAAACACGTGACTGTATACATTAATAATCATGCGCATAGCTTTTTATATTTACGTTATTAATTTTACTTTCAAGTTAATAATTACTTTAGACTAAACTTGACAAAAGATACAAAGATAGCAATGATATTGTATTACCTTAAATTTTAATCGTGCATAAGTGTTATCAAAAAAAATGGCTAATCAAAATTTTATTGCAAAAAATTAAAATTAAAAAAGATAAAAATTTACGAGTAATTAATTATTGATACTGTTTATGTAGCAGCATGAGTACTTTCATTAAACAACTTGCTTGCATAAATTTCTTTAATGATTACAAAAACTTGAAATGCCTGATAAACTAGCTTTAAAATGCCTAATTTGTGCCACTGACAAACAGTGTTCTTTGATTTAATAATGTTATTTTTTGTAGTTTCTAGTCTTAAGTCATAAAGGTTGTTTGACTTAGACTCTTGTGACGGACTTTAGTCTTAACTTGATAATTGAATATTTCATAAAAAATGAAAATATGATAAATTTAAAGAATAGCAAACTGCACGACAGAAAGCACTAGAAAATAAATTGGACGTATTGAATTTTCAAAGAAATTGTTCAGACTTATTTTATCTGAAAAATAATAATTCATATAAAAACATGGCTAATCCCGCAAGTAATAAATTTGTTTCATGTTTTGAATAATTCTTAAGAACAGTATGAAAAATGATTCGCTACTTTTTTGAATACATTTAGACAAGGAAAAAAAAAATGTATTGATGCAGTAACCTACTATTTCCTATGCTCTATGAATTGTAATAGATAAATTTGCAGAGTTGCAATGAAATTATTAATATTAAAATATTGTAATATTAATTTTGTACTTGTTTTAATAAATCAAATAATATCAAGGAAACTTTACTGATTGAAGTGCACAAATTCTGTTTACCTCTATCAGTGTAAGCAAATTCAAAATTTCATGATTTGAAATGTTGATACGCTGCAGTGTGCCTTGCTGATAAGTGCTGCTGCTGCTGCTGCTACTACTACTGCTATTGCTGCAGAATATGAGTGATAAATAGAATCAGCCCTCAGTAAGTAATGATTAATTGCTTTAGATCATATTGAGCAACTGCTCTTCTCAAATTCAATCTAAGATACCCAAACAAACAATGATTTATCATTAGATGATGCAAACATATATTCTGGAAGCTACTTCATATCAAGTCTCTGCCACCGCATCGCAAGCTTTTGCTGTTATTTTGCGTTGCACTCACCCAAACAAGCATTTAAACAGTCCCGACATTGCCTTTCATCAACTATACTTGATGAACATTTCCGCTTCCTGCGTTATAAAATCTCTCGCACTGCAAATTCCATCTCAATAATTTGCTTCCCTTACTTTCATCTCAAAACTACTTTGTCAATTCATTAATTTCTTACTTTTGCTCATATAAAATACATTTTGACCTCCAAATGTTTCTTCTTTGAAACGATGTTCTGCTACTTTTATCCTTCAGTTCATCCTTTGCCCCTCAATTCATCGTTTCCTCTTCTTGAAATTGTCCGGTTTTATAAAAATCTACCTCCCTTTTAAAGTCATAAATTTAGGCCTGCAATGATGTTCCGGTCTATAATAGTGTTAACTTTGTGTCCCACTGTATTTAGTGCAATTGGTGGTATTGTGGGGCGAGCACAAAGTACCGGTATAAGGGGTAGATTGCTATGCAATGGTAAACCTGCTTCCAGAGTACTAGTAAAATTATACGATGACGACAGAGGTGAGTGTACTGCATTCGATTAAAAATATTTGCGACCTCATCCTCATTTAAAAATTTTTAAATTACCCCACAACAGTATCTCTGAATATTATTCTCCTCCATAGTGTTGCTGCTTTGTAATGTTTGCGGACTAATAACCTTTTTTCTGATTATAGTCGTTATTAGCAATATGGACTATAATCAGAAAAAGAGCACTACTGTAAAGTTTGTTTATAAATTTTGACGTTTTTTTCATCATGGACTCCAAGTAGTAATTGAAAATTTTTAGGCCTGGACATGGATGACTTCATGGGTGAAACAAAAACTAACTCACAAGGTGACTTTGAACTTCAAGGTTATATTCATGAATTCACACCAATCGATCCAAAAATGAACATTTATCATGACTGCAATGATGAATGGAAGGTAACTTTAGCTCCATTAAATTTAAGTTTAAAATTTGCATTTTTCTCAATATACAATCATATGAGGTTAAAAAAAATTCGAATCCCAATGCAAAAAAAAACTGCAGCCTTGTCAAAGAAAAATCAGCATCATGATACCGAATGGATATATAACAGAAGCTAAAAAACCGACCAAATGGTATAATGCGGGGACTATAGAACTAGCTGGAAAATTTGCTGGTGAAACTCGTGACTGCATACACTAGAATTGGATCGGTTTGAAAATAATGAATGAAGTCACAAATTTTTATAAATTTGCTAGAAAAAATTGATCGAAATTTCAAAATAAAAAATTATAGCGATGCGAGAATACTCACTATAAATAACTGAATACTGATTTACAATAAATATCGCGAAATCTCAACATAAAAAGTGATTACGATTGAAAAACCATTTACTATGTGGGTTCTATTACACAACACTCTATACTTCAAGGTACGAAAATTGTTCCCCACTACAATTATGACGATAACTAAATATAATATGATGAAAAGAATTACAGAACTAAATTGTTTTTTTTGTAATCCATGATACTAAAAAGACATGGATCACAATTATTCTCAAATAATCAGCTCGTTACTTATACAATCAACGTTGGTAACAGAAGGAATTACGGTAATATCAAACTGATTTAATCTACACTCAAAATTTTAATAAAACGAGACACAACTTCAATGAATTCAACCATTTAACAACAAAAAAATCAATTTATATGAAAGTTCATTAATCTTTTTAAAAAAATTTTGTCTCGTTACTCAACAAAAATGTCCAAAACACATATCAGCAAATTTTGCTGCACAATAAATAGATAAATAAATAAATAAAACCTACGAAAAAAAAATCAACGTACTTTTCCAGAATGCCAATTAAAACCTTCTTCTTTTTCCAATATGCTCAATAAACCTTGCTTTATATGGAAGAGATTAACAAATTGATCTCAAAAATTCATTTCAAATAATGCCCTAAGTTAATGTCGCCGACGATCGTAATCACGTCCTCTATCTCGGTCGCGATCTCGATAATCTCGATCTCGATCAACGTCACCGCGGCCATCTCGGGACAGACGATGGTCATCGTACCTGAAACGAGCATTTTAAAAATATAATCAAGTTAAGACAATGCAATCCTTTAGATTTGCTTTCTCTTCGACGTAGTTCATAACCAAAATCACATAACAACAGAACCCAAGTCCGGATTTGCATGCTGCAAATGTAAAATTTTCGTACATCAAAACAAAAGCAGATATAGCCAAACTATACTCTTAGATGTGTCAAACATATTGTAAACTTTTTTTATCCTAATGAGTTAAAGATAAACAGCTCAAACCAACCACTTAAAAGACATACATAAATCCAAAATCCTAAATCGAAATGTCTGACACGACTTTAGAAACATAAGCAAATCCATTCACCACATTATTAAAATCTTTACTCTTACTTTGAATGAAAAAAATTCAAGAGGAAAAGCTAGTGTAAAAGGCCAAAATGTGCTTAAAAATTTTCATTAAATTTTCATTACGTGAATTTCTATCTATAAAGACTAACCGTTTTGAATCACGATCACGATCTCTGTCCCGATCTCGACTTCGTCGCTTGGAGTTTGATGATACTGAGCCATTACGATCACGATCACGTGAATATGAACGATGAGTTGAAGATGATCGATGATCCCGGTTTCCATGAGCTGTTTCTAACGCAGCTGCTTCAAGAGCTGCTTTCGACTCACGGAAGCGACGTGTGTCACCTTTCCCACCACCTGAAAATGTTTGCCAATGATTTACATAATTTTTTAGATTTCGAGCTTTCCTTTTTTGAAGCTAGAATTTTATAAGAATACGGAAAGAGGTCGTAAAACTAGAAACATGAAAAAGAATTTATTGCGCAAATAGCAGTATTATAACGTCGTAAACGACGTACCAAGTCGTCGCGGTAGCCAAGATTTTTGCGTGCGACCACGCTCATAATCAACGACGACTCTACGCCCATCAATTTTCATGCCATCAGCCTTTTTATAAGCTTCTGAAAATAACTTCGTAGTAAAAAATTGAGAGTAGCACACCACGTAAGTAAAGTCCAGATTTGTGAGTATTAATATTTAGTTTTTATCAGCCATGATTGAAAGCAACTGAATTCAGCACATCACCATATTTTAAAGTAAATGAAATATGGCTAACATAAACTGAAACATAGCTAATGAAATGTTACAAGATATTTTTAATATAAGATTCAGAGTCAGAATACCCATGCTAAGATCGAATTCATTTCATAACATTATTTAAGCTTGCGGTACTTGAAGGAACTCACCCATCTTACCTTTACACAAACGTTAAAATTAATGTATATTATCAGAGATGAGGAACATGAGCCAACTGAAGAAGTACGTGCGCATATGAAAACTTACCCACGTAACTTACTTTTTTCCAACTTACCCGCTTTTAACATGCAGTTAGACGTCTTATTACTCTAAATAACAAATTAAAAAGTAAAAAACATGACTACCTCATTAAGTTCCGCTTCAGTAAAAAATCAGGCTGTTGACCATTAAATATATTACTGATTACTGCGTAAAAGATAATGAGTTCTATCATTACATAAAAGGACAGAAAGGATACTTTTGTGCAATGGGAAAGCAAAAATGCGATTGGATCAAACAAATTTTTCTGCAGTGACTCAGTATCTTCTGCCCAATAAAATTATTAACTTAGTAAAATGAAATTAAGTTCATTATTAGCATCTTTCATATAACATTACTTTACTCTTTAAAAATTATAACTTCAGATATGTTTCCTGTAGCCTGCCATAATCTGAATACAAATGGTATAACTTGAAAAAATTGCTGCTATTATAACATCCGTTTTTCTAGGAGTACTTTCAGTCTCTGCTAAAACACACAGATTGAATACATCACACACAAAATCACACACAGAAACACGCACAGAAACACGCACAGAAGCACGCACATACACAAACATACATACAACACACACCACACGCACACAACAATACATATACATGGAGAGAGCCTTACCGCACTTAAAACAAACCATAGGAAAAGCGCTCTGCAATACTGTGCCCATTTCAGGTTTCTTAACCATATTTCTGTGTGAGTCGCATACTATATTTCAAAATTACCTCTCTTTTTCTTTTTTTAAAATTTTGAAATCTCCATTAAAACATGAACTAAAATTACAACGACTCAACACAGTGTTTACAAACAAACCCATGGCTGATGTAAGTGTGCATTCAAGAGAGAAGAGAGAGAGGCACGGCCATTCATAGCGAATGCTGCCCTTCTGCAAATACAACACCATAAGTTTTTGTCGACTTCCAAAAATGAACAAGAAAAAATTTGTGGCCAAGAAAATATGCATACCCCAAAATATTACCAGCTGTATATCTTATTGTACATAGCAATAAAATCAAGAACAACAAATATATCTACACAAGGACAATCAAATACTATATAACGCTCTTCGCTAAAAGTGAGGCTCAAGCAGTTAGATGAGTTCTTTTAAATAGTGATAAAGAATGTCAGTAGAAATACAAGCTATCCAATCTTCAAGCACGATAGTTCTGATCCTTGCTACTTGATATCAAGAAAACAAAGCATGTAAAACTTGAGGATGCTTGAAAGAAAAAAAACTTATTTGAAATTTTGTTGCTAAAAAAACTTCAAATAAGTTTTTTCGAAAGTTTTTAAAAACTTATTGAAAGTGATTCTGATATAAACACTGCGCAACTAGCTAGACAACTATACAAAGAAAAACGTAACACTTTTTGAGTCATCTATATATTCAAAAAGCGTAGATTGAAAGCAACTGAGGAAAATCTTAATGAGACGAAATAAGTTGACTGTTCACCATGTTTTGTACTATAGCGACTTTATTTCAAAATAATCTCTGCTAATCTGAAAGCCTACATGATAGCATTTTGCACTGCACACTAGAACTAATAGAAACGAAACCTCAGCTACTGCTTTTAAAACTCCAAGTAAACGAATAAAAGGTTTTATATTTATTTTGAGTATATTTTTAGCTCAAAGACTCAATATACAAGTGCAGCAGACTTTGAAGTATACGAGGTTTACGAAGTCAAGATATCGGAGTCATAACGCTATAGAGGTTGAAATAATATAATTTTCTTCAAATGAATAACTGTTTTTTGAGTAGTTCTGGAAACGAGTTTGCGGATCAACAAAGAAATATTTTAAGAAATAACTTACTTGCATCAACAAGCTTCATAAACTCTTACACTAATTACAAAAAATTACCTGACATCGACTCTTTGTGCAGATACTCGATAAAAGCATAACCTCTAGGTTTCCCATTCTTATCTTGAACCAGAACGAGCTAAAGAATGGTATACACCATTATTTTACTTTATTTAAAAAATAAAATCTAAATGATTCCCGAATTTAAAGAAATCAATTTACTTGATATGTAAAAAACTATCACTTTTTTTAGCAAATAAAATTTTTGGAGCATTTTTACTTTAATTTGAAACAAATCAAGAGACAATAGCAGACAACAGGGTTCTAGAGAAAAGTCGTGAAAATTATTTTTATTTTGCTAACTTTCATATACTGCTTTCTTCTTAACCTGATAATTTATAACTAAATAGTTAATAAATAGTACTTACACGAGCAATTTTTCCAAACTGTTCAAATTCTCGACGAAGCTTTGATTCCGAAGTTTCGTAATTCTGAAGTAAAATTTGATCTCAAAAAGTCTCTTGGTTAACAATAAACACAAAAAAATTCAGAAAGGTTGTATATAAGAGGTTAAAATCTTTCAAGAAAAGATCACTACATGCATAAGTAATCATTAAGTTTCAGATTTGTAGCACTAAACTTAACTTAAAGAGGCAAAGAAATTGGCTTTGCACGTACAAATAATTTAAAAAGTTTACACAATACAAATCAGCCGGTCTGAATTCGTTCTAAGCATATCCAAGAGATAATTTCAAAATCTCACTTCAATATTCATCAACATATAGCCGAATTTTCTAAAAAAATTTTGCTTCCAATGTTATGAAAACCTTTTAAATTCAAAAACTTACTATACGAGCTACAAACAATGTTTTATATGGATCCATAGTTGCATTTGGATTCTGTGTAGGATTCCCTGAATACTTGAAAACATGACAGTCAAAATTATCAACTAAATGATTTATATCTTATATCAATAATACATCTGAACCGAAAAAACCATGGTACAAAACATACATGTTGCTATGCCTTGTTCAATTTTATATGCCAGAAGTTCTTCTTTTTCTTTTCTCTGCAAAAAACATAACATTTAAAAATATACTGCCATGGAACTATCACGAAAAATACATTGAAAAGTGTTGAAGAAAAAAGCTCCGTGCTAAATAACTGGACATAATAAAATTAAAGCACCAAGGACGAAAGCATAATATAATCATGAACAATCGATTACTTCCGATTCCTTTCACTAAGCAAAAGTAATAATCACCCACAATTAATTTAGCTGATTGAAACATAGTTTGTATTTGTGAAACTACTACCAACAAAAACATATTATGTAAAATGCAAATACCACCTATTAAAAATATATAATATAAAGTTACCCGCCGAGCTCGCCGTTCTTCTTTCGTCTCGAAAACTGGCTTTGGAGGTGTGTCTTTTGGATCCTGTAAATTAATATTTTGATAGCCGGCATATGTTGATAACCAACATATTTCCAGCATAAAATAAAATGATTCTGTAATGAACAAGTAAGGTACAGATGAAAATTCGCATGCAAGTGGTACACACTTCAAATATTAATTAATTTCTTGATGTCAGTAACTTATCTATAATTCCAAATCATGAAAAAGATATGTAATATATGTAGAAAGCTGAAACAATGCTGTGCAACATACTTCAAAAAGATTAACGTATTCAGCTAAACCCGACATTTTGGGTCGCTTCCGATCAATTAGTAAGTCATCTGGAGGAGGCTTGTAAGTTAGCGGTGGCCGCGCTTCGAACAGCGCTAATAAATTGTCAGGCAAAAATTGTGTCATCTTGTGTAAAAACTAAAAATGATACAAAAAATAAATAAAGCAGATAAAAACAAATTTTATTAACAGCCATAATGAAATTCAGAAGTTCTAAACAACATGAGTAGAACTTTCTTCAACTTTTTATTATAAAACATGAAAAGTAGCTTAATGTAGAGAAGCAGTAAGTGAAAAAAAGTCACGTTCCACGTAGCAAAGCATATTTATGCGAAAGTACGCAACAATATATTTGCATAAATCAAGGACAATTGTCAATAAATTGCTCAACACAAAAATTCTTAAGTTAAAAATTGACAAAAATTTTCAAACTTTGATACCTATACAAAGCCCATTTCTTGTCTTGATGTAAGCGACTACAATTCAAAAGAAGTGTCAACTTCACTGCAAATCGAGCAATATATTGAACTTATATTGTCACCCAACGAAACTTCATGGTTTGTCAAATCTGCAGTTCAAATATTTTATCGAAACTGGTCTTGCTTTGCAAATTTTCAATCTCATCATCTCAAAATCTTTTTGGTGAAAGAGTCTCAATGGACTAAAAATAGAAATTGTTTAATTTTTAAGTTATCAAGAATATTAGCCAATATAAAGTGTTAGATTGATCACATTATTTAGCAGTCTAAGTAGCAGCAAGTCCATTTTGGCTAAACATTTTTATTTTCACACGAATTAAACATATTGAGTACAAACGACATACCTATCATGTAAAATTAATCAGATTTTTTCTCGCTGATCCCAAATAATTCTAATATTTTTTCAAATCGGAATGCATCATATCATTCAACCGATATTTTCTACACTGATTGCATGAGATTCATTACAGCATTTATTTGTGAAATATTTTTTTATTTTCTCACATATACTCATAGTTTTGAAAGTATAATTTATTCATGTGGTGTACACTTTAAAATTTCTTTTTGGTTTCGTTAGGGAAAACGAAATTTGATATAGCACAATTTACTTTTTTTAACAATAAATAAAATAGTAGAAGTAAAGTAGCTCAAGGTATTAATTTAGGAATGATAATAATAGCACGTACGAGTGATTCTTATCGATTTGTAGCTGAAAGTATTATTATAATTTCGTTTTTAGAAATTAAAAAAAGAGTAAAATAAATTATTTTTTTGGTAATATTTTATAGGTTTATATTCTCTTTTTTGGTGCAAATTTTAGTACATTCACTGACAATTTTAATCTGTTTAGATTAAATTACAACAATTAATGAAAGATTTAAAAAAGAATTCGCTTATAGTAGTAAGTAAATTAACTTTTGATAAACAGTTTTTTGCTACAATAAAAAGATAATCTAATATCATCAAGCTTATGTATTTATTAAGTTTGGTGATATTATTAACATAAATTCACGCTTAAGTTATATTTTCCCTATAATAAATTTCAAAAAATAATTAAACCACAATAACGTTTCTACCTTTTGTGCAGTTATAAATTCGCATAAACTATTGTAAACAATGAAAAGTGATATGATTTTTCTATTTTTTATCATGTCTGAGCCAATCTGCCACGCATAAAATGTCTGCTAAAATTTGATGGGGCAATAATCTGATGGATCTCAATCATAATTGTAAAAGTCCCGTTTGCATTTATTCTCGATATTCACGATGAAAACCTGGTCTTTGCAATCATTCTCGGTAAGTATGACAGAAACCTACATATATTCTTAGTTCTTCATAGAGGAACTACATTCCATACACGGATTTTTCCAACGTACTTCTATTTATTTCTATTCCTCTATCACTACTTATCATTTATACCGAGAAAAGTAGTATTCAATCTCATTATGATTTGTTTCGTTCACAATAATAGTTCTGACCCTCTCTCTCTCTCTGCAACTTTTAAGAACAAAAATGGAGTAACAATTGCTTCAGATAAATTCTAATGAGCCAAAATTAAATTAATTTTAAATATGTTATATTTAAAAAATTTGAATATGACTCAATTCTGTAATCAACCATTCTTGAGATGTTTTATTTCTTCAATCAGAAATGTTTCCTGATAGATTAAATTTAAAAAAAAAGATGAATTATTGATGATGTCATTACAAAAGTATTACTGTAATACCTTAAAAAAATTATGATTTGCGTAATAAATCAAGAAAGAATATCTCACACAGCTCGGAAATGACCACTGTTGCGTTGATTCTGTGAAGCAAAAAAAATACATACATAAATAGTTGGGAAAAATGAATAAATTAAAGCATACGGATACAAACATATTCCTACTTTCATCATTTTTGAAAACTGCTGTTTTCAAAGAAAGTACTAACGTTACTATTACAAATGCATTACATATTTTTCTGTAATCGTAATTTATTCACATGAATTATCAGTTTTACGTAATTTCACAGTCAGTGCATACAAGTAGACGAGTATTGATTAAAAATTAACGTAATACGTAATAAGCAAATAAATAAATAAATAAATAAATATATATATATATATATATATA